ACGATGGTCATTAATTTAAACTCAGTTGTTGGGACACCATACTAATATGTAATTAAACACATCCCTTCTTCGTTATTGTTTGCTTATTGAAAGCTCAATGACAAATTACAGTTAATACAGTATTATGAATACGGATTGTGAAAAGAACTTTAGATAGCTAAGCAAATACTCAAGTAGAACTGTGAAAAGTGTAGGTTGAATAAAGTAGTAATAGTTTGGCCATAGCACTGTTCAATAATATGACAAATAAACTGTAGTGTCCCAATTGTACTGGTTATTTCAATCTTCTCGTTGATGTAAAGAACTGTTGTTGGCCAGTCTTTTCATCATAAGTTATAAGCAACAGAAGCAGAAACGGGTGGTGGCTAGCAGTGGAATATCACTTTATCCCATTTAAAACTCACCAGGTTGGTGTACTTGCATCACATAGTTGGTGTTCACTCTGAGACTCAAAATCAGTACCGTTCACTGCAAACATCGTGTTATCTCATCAGCTAGTAAATGTAGATACACATTGAATCATAAAAACTGTTTCAGAGATGAATATTTGAGTGAGCACTGACTTGGTAAATTGAATTTTTAGAAATCATTTCCTCATCACGTTGTTGAATGCTTTGATTGTGACAAAATTGGACACATTAAGTTAGTGTGTAAGACTACTGTGAGTGTTCGTTGTTGAGAGGTCTCATGCTAGAACATGCCGGCTATCATGTTCTTCTAGTATTTCGAACACCACCAGTCGAGTCAGAGCTTATGTGAAACTGCCATATGATTTCACAAACTCAGGTGGTGTCCGATCATGTTTCCTTCAAAGACTTACTACAGTAAATGAGGTTTCCGTCTACTGATTATTCAAGAATCAATCTTCCACCAGGGTTCCTACTTATTGAATGAGAATACGCAGATGACATAGTCAAGTTTGGTGAAGATGCTGATAAAATGCAGACCATTTTATAGCACTGAACAACAGTGTCAGGATGTTTTGGATGAGCTTCTTCACATCTATATGCAAATTGTTGCTTCAGGACTGGTCTGCATCAACACGTGAACTAAGGACAGGGAGTGAAGTAGTCGACATGTATTCATCCAACTTATTCCGTGTTTAGCTTTTCATTACAGTCAATGCTCAAAGGGTGCAAGCGAAATATTTACGTTTACGGCATATGTTAGGAGACAAATGCTCTCTATCATCCCAATATTCATCATTAAACTACTAGACAACACTAGGTAAACGAATCAATGAAATTATTAATAGCTGCAAGTGTTAGTGTAATGAATAACACAAAATTTGCGTTCCACTAGGCACTATGTATATGAAACATAATGAGAACATGTAATTTAGTGATGGCGTGTAATGAGATCATCCTGCAATTACTTAGTATATATTAAGTAGTTAATGTTGGATGACAGCAACGTTTGAACACAAGTTTCATGCTGGTTGATACTTCTCTTTAAGAGATAACTAGAATATCAAGAGTGTTGATGTTTACTGTTTGATGAGAAGTCGTGTCATACAATTTCACAGTTTGGCAACTTATCACTGAAATACTCGTTCCACAACTGAACACCTGTACTACCAGTCTTCATTTTCAACTCGATAGATGAAGTTTAGTCAGCACTGAGAGCCAGAAAAACATGATATTTCACACTACTATGTGATTAATCAGTGCATATCAGCACTTTCATCAAAGTAGACTGAATTGCACTTCGCATGTTCTACATGTCTGTTCGATTATTTCACTCTACTAATCAAAATAATGTTGCAACTCATCAACAAACGATGTCAATTACAACGCTGATTCTTCATCAGTTATAAAGAAACAAACAAACAAACAAATCAGTCTTTTTAATAGAAAGCAGATCTTAATATACGTTTTATACCTTTTTGAATACAATTCAGCAAAAGAGAACACAAGAATTCGCAATCATTAGAACATTATTGGAAGGAGAACTGAATTCATTAAAGTGATGATTGATCTAAGTCGGACCACTATTGAAATACTAGAAGAACTTGATAGCCGGCATGTTCTAGCATGAGACCTCTCAACAATGAACACTCACAGTAGTCTTACACACTAACTTAATGTGTCCAATTTTGTCACAATCAAAGCATTCAACAACATGATGAGGAAATGATTTCTAAAAATCAATTTACCAAGTCAGTGCTCACCCAAATATTCATCTCTGAAACAGTTTTTATGATTCAATGTGTATCTACATTTACTAGCTGATGAGATAACACGATGTTTGCAGTGAACGGTACTGATTTTGAGTCTCAGAGTGAACACCAACTCTGTGATGCAAGTACACCAACCTGGTGAGTTTTAAATGGGATAAGGTGAATTTCCACTGCTAGCCACCACCCGTTTCTGCTTCTGTTGCTTATAACTTACGATCAAAAGACTGGCCAATAACAGTTCTTTGCATCAACGAGAAGATTGAAATAACCAGTACAATTGGGACACTACAGTTTATTTGTCATATTATTGAACAGTGCTATGGCCAAACTATTACTACTTTATTCAACCTACACTTTTCACAGTTCTACTTGAGTATTTGCTTAGCTATTCACGGCAAGACATGAAAACAAGGAGGTTTTTTGTGAAAACGACCATTCAACTGAATTAGAATTAGATGGCTAATGGTTATTATTTTCCACGCATAGCTGAAGCAAAAATGTCTATTGAACTAACACTGCCAAAGTATTTGTTTTTATCAAAGTTTATTCTTCTTTTTAATTACAAAAGTGCTAATGCCATTCATATTGATTCCGTTTGCGTGGGTGATTAATGGTCACGTAAACAAAGGCGCATAATTAGAAAGAAGAAGAAGAAGAAAAAGAATTATATTGTGCTCACACCACAATTGAATATAGTTCACCTTCTATGGTTAATTAGAAAAGAATGTGTTGTGATAGAGAACAATAAAGTACATTCAGTGATATATTTTTATCAGCAACGAAGGTCAACAGATATATATTGACATAAAAATTCTTAACTTAACATTTTTAATATCAGATGGGTTTTGTCGAGATTGTAGTAATTTTAATGGTTAAGATCATGAGTCAGTTGAAGCTAGACACTCATGGAAAACCTGGAAGCACTGGACGGTCGTTTCGTCCTATTGTGGAATTTCTCAGCAGTGCGCATCCACCACATCGCCAGCTGCGAGATTACAGTTTCAAAGAGAAATACAGAGACGAATGAGACATTATACCTCGCAGAGTATGCACGACTAGAATTTCTGAATCCATACCTAATAGAAACACCATAGATAGTAAATCACTCCATTAACCACACACATGTAACTGCATGAGAACCAACAAACCAGAGGAAAAGAATCTGAGGAATGTTGTGTTGTCTTTTTATCGTAAATGTGCATTCTGTACAGGTTGATTGGATATTATTTTACGTTATAAGCAACAGAAGCAGAAACGGGTGGTGGCTAGCAGTGGAATATCACTTTATCCCATTTAAAACTCACCAGGTTGGTGTACTTGCATCACATAGTTGGTGTTCACTCTGAGACTCAAAATCAGTACCGTTCACTGCAAACATCGTGTTATCTCATCAGCTAGTAAATGTAGATACACATTGAATCATAAAAACTGATTCAGAGATGAATATTTGAGTGAGCACTGACTTGGTAAATTGAATTTTTAGAAATCATTTCCTCATCACGTTGTTGAATGCTTTGATTGTGACAAAATTGGACACATTAAGTTAGTGTGTAAGACTACTGTGAGTGTTCGTTGTTGAGAGGTCTCATGCTAGAACATGCCGGCTATCATGTTCTTCTAGTATTTCGAACACCACCAGTCGAGTCAGAGCTTATGTGAAACTGCCATATGATTTCACAAACTCAGGTGGTGTCCGATCACGCTTCCTACTATCTCCATTTCTTTCTAATTCCATCAAAGACTTACCACAGTAAATGAGGTTTCCGTCTACTGATTATTCAAGAATCAATCTTCCACCAGGGTTCCTACTTATTGAATGAGAATACGCAGATGACATAGTCAAGTTTGGTGAAGATGCTGATAAAATGCAGACCATTTTATAGCACTGAACAACAGTGTCAGGATGTTTTGGATGAGCTTCTTCACATCTATATGCAAATTGTTGCTTCAGGACTGGTCTGCATCAACACGTGAACTAAGGACAGGGAGTGAAGTAGTCGACATGTATTCATCCAACTTATTCCGTGTTTAGCTTTTCATTACAGTCAATGCTCAAAGGGTGCAAGCGAAATATTTACGTTTACGGCATATGTTAGGAGACAAATGCTCTCTATCATCCCAATATTCATCATTAAACTACTAGACAACAGTAGTTAAACGAATCAATGAAATTATTAATAGCTGCAAGTGTTAGTGTAATGAATAACACAGTATAAAAATGTAAGCACATCAAAAGTTTAAATTAAGATATTTTAGACAAAATATAAAAAAGTGAAAACATAACAATTAATGTTCATTAAATCTTACTAGAAAATAAACACAAACGACATTTACAATTTAGAGCAAATACTCATTCTAAAAAGGAAAACAGTATTTAATACAATTCATTTTGATATAGTAATGTATTTATTAAGTGAATTCATGAGTTGATTAAAGCTAGACTACTCATAGAAAATGATGATTGTGCTAGTAATTGGTAAAACCAGTTAATCCATTTATATGTGATAAAAATACGCTATTCGCATAGAAGAAAGCCTGATAAACATTGTTATTATCAGAATGGGTTTTGTGGAGATTTTTAGAAATTTTCACAGATTGAAATCATGGTCAGTTGAAGCTAGACCACCATTGAAAACCTGGAAGCACTGGACGGCCGTTTCGTCCTAGTATGGGACTCTTCAGCAGTGCGCATCCACGACCCCGCACTACCAGGGGTTCGAACCAAGGACCTACTGGCTTCGCGCGCGAGCACTTAACCATTAGACCATTGAGCCAGCCGGCATCCAACGGTGTTAATGTCTAACATTATTATATTTTATGTTAAGCATATTAAATAGAGTTGAATTTGAGTTAATTTAATCAAGAATAATAAATTATGAAGCTGATTGAATATTTATAAGAGCCATTAATTTGGACCTGTGTAGAAAAAAGGCAAAGGTTTTGAGTAAATTCATATCCCAACTGTAAGATAATGTATTTTAAACGTTGAACTAATATTAAACACCATCAATCTTGTTCAAATTTCTTCCACAATTCAACATTGATATTTTTTAAACATAGGAAATACTGATTATTAATTGTTTACAATAAATTAACAAGTTAATACTCAGCGATATTACAATCAATCAACTTACATTTGACCAATCGCTTTTTCAATATATTTCCGATCAAATTGCCAATTATAAGTTTTGGCTGTTTATATTGATAATGTTAATCTATCAAAGAAAAATCTTACAACTATACAAGTAACAGAAACAAATCTATGGAGAATTTAGTCTTATCTGATGATTATGGGAACAGATTTTTTTTGCAATGCTCCTGTTGCTATGGCATACAATGAAGATCTTTAAAATTGAACAGTAACTACCTTTTTATCAATGGAACTAACGGTAAAATATAAACGTAAACAATTACAACATAATTTTTTTTTTAACTAAACAGCATTTACAGATTGTCTAATTTGTTTTTAAAAAATTATGAATCCAGAAATTAGTCGTTGAGTAAAATGGAACAGCATTTTGTGTAAAATATACAAAATCTAAAATAATAGTTGGAAAAGATTATGGAAACTGGACAAAACGAAAGTAGAAGTAGGAAAAGTCATTGAGTAAAAAAAATCATGGGGAATTCGGTGAACGATGTGATCTTCGTATACGGAGTATTCTATGACCTAAATGACGGAAAATATTAAGAAAAAGTATGAAGCTCTAATTAAATGTAGGACTAGTTTAAGAAACAAAAAACAAAATCATTTATTTAACCTGAAGAAAGAGTTCATTCAATGCTTTGATATCAGATGAAAAAGAACTTCGAATGGACTGTTCAAATCTTTCTATAGAATACGTAGTCCTAAAAAATAATTAACACAATATAATAGTAAGACTATGATGACGCTGACAAAATGCAGAGTCTTTTGGTAGCACTAAGCAACAATGCCAGAATGTTTGGAATGCGCTACTCTCCCTCTAAATGCAAGTTGTTGCTTCAGGACTGGTCTGCGTCAACACCTGAACTAAGGATAGGGAGTGAAGTAGTCGAACGCGTTGACAACTTCACTTATTTTGGAAGTCTGATTAACCCTAATGGGTTGGTGTCTGACGAAATCTCAGCACGGATTCGAAAAGCTCGATTGGCTTTTGCCAACTTGCGTCACCTATGGCGAAGGCGAGATATCCGTCTATCAATAAAAGGACGAGTACACTGCGCGGCAGTCCGTTCTGTTTTAATTTACGGCAGCGAAACATGGCCATTAAGAGTAGAAGACACTCGTAAGCTATTAGTATTTGACCACAGATGCCTTAGAAATATTGCTGGCGTCTGCTGGGATCACCGGGTAAGTAATAGTGAGGTTAGACGCAGGGTATTAGGGAATGATGGTAAATCAGCTCATGAGGTTATGAATCTTCACCGGCTGAGATGGTTGGGCCACGTGTTACGTATGCCTGAACACCGATTACCACGACGTGCAATGCTATCCGGTATTGGAAATGGTTGGAAGAAAGTTAGGGGCGGCCAAACCAAAACGTGGCATCAGTGCCTGAAGTCACTAACTTCTAGTCTGAGCCATGTTGGTAGATGCAGACTACTTGGTTGGAGTCCGCGTGACTATCGTAACCAATGGTTGGAGACTCTTGGTGACATGGCTCAGAATCGATCACAATGGCGTCGGTGTATACACTCCCTGTCTTCCCTTAAACTAAGAGATTAAAATCACTTCATATCTTTCCTTCTACGAACCAATTCTTTCTTCTTGTAATATATCTCTATATGCAATCTTTCTCTTATATATTACCACCTCTGACCTAACCACTGCTATGAATCCGGTGTTCATCTTGTTGTGCTGATGCGGTATGGCAACCTGAACCGATGCACATATGTGCCTGGTCCTACGTTGTAGCTGACTGACTGACTGACTGATGAATTTGTTGGTAAAGTTACAGTGGTAAAGTGAGAAGTTCAGAACCAAACCAAAGCACACTATATCCAACATCTATAGTTCGAATTACAAAATCCTCAGTCAGAAACATCGAAGACAAACAACCCTTTCTACATGCATACCAAAGGTGCCTTTTCAATCAAGAAACAGTTGACTGAGGACAACATAAAACTTTAAAGTTAGAAACTCAGATTTCGGAAATACTAACCATACTTATGAAAGGTCACGGCTTTAAAATAATCGATTATTCACAAACAGACAGAAATAATTTCATACAATTGGTTCTCTTTATGAATTTAAATGGAGCAAGAACAAACATTGATGCAGAATAGTATGAATTCAAAATATTTCGAGGTTTCTCGTCGGCTGTTTACAAACCAAAAATGTGATAGAATTTTTTACATTGAGATAGTGTGAAACAATTGACATAAATGAGTATAAATAACGGGATTACAATGATAAATATATATAGGCAATTTCATCTCCTTTGAAAAATATTCATCACAAAAACACTTGGAGTGGTCTATATCTCAATTACCATAGTTTCTGCCCAATGAGTTACAAAAAGGGTATTTTACGAACCCTTTTTGACCGCGCTCGCAAAATTTATTCAAAGGAATGCCTTGATGACGAAATTACTCTCATCACTAATGTTCTACCTGAAAATGCATATTCGTTGAAATTCATCCAGAAATATGCAAAAACCAATCCTCAGACAAAGTACGATGGAGTAGAAAAGAGAACTTGCTTCTTACATTTACGTTTCAAAGGAGATGAAATTTCCGGATTAATTAATCACAGATTAAATTCTGCATTGAAAGTGGCCTACCCAGCAGCAAAACTTACGACAGTATGGCAAACGAACTGCTCACTTAAACAAACTAAAATCGACAAGTCCTCTTTTATTAGTAGCTCCAACTGCATTTATCAATTCACATGTACGTGCCAAAGCACATACATTGGAAAAACTGAGAGAAGAGTGCGTGTTCGCATTTCTGAACATGTTCCGAAGAACTTGAGGCTGCGAGGGATCAAAGCTTTAAACAGTGCAATAGCTCGGCATTTACTTGACACCGGGCATACTGTCGACATTTTGCATGCTTTTAAAATTATCAATAGACAAAGAAGCACGACTACTCTTCGTTTCGCTGAAGCGATTGCGATTAAAAAATATAAACCGGATTTATGCATTCAAAAAGAGACTTGAATAAAATTATCACTACCCTGGTAACCCCCTTTTTTGTGTGTGTTTTGATTATTTGGGTTATTTTATTCATTTATTTAAAATATTTATACTCCTCCCCTATTACATAATTCTTAAACCACATTATTATTCACACATTTCCACCACCTGATCCTTTCAAATTATCTTAACTATTCGAATTCTCACAGGTTGAAATCATGAGTCAGTTGAAGCTAGACCACCATTGAAAACCTGGAAGCACTGGACGGCCGTTTCGTTCTGGTATGGGACTCCTCAGCAGTGAGCATCCATTTAATTATTATCTATTTAATTATTATTACGTAGTCTACCTTATCATTATTTAATTCCATTAATCTCTCTAATTATCACACAATTTATGAACTTCACTAAACTATTACACCACCCACCCTGGATTAACCCCCCTCTTTTGATCTCTGACCTGTTTCTAGCATATATATATATAGTTATTATTGTAATCCCGTTATTTACACTCATTTATGTCAATTGTTTCACACTATCTCCATGTAAAAATCGTATCACATTTTGGTTTGTAAGCAGCTGACGAGAAACCTCGAAATAATATGAATTCATACTATTCTGCATCAATGGTTGTTCTTACTTTATTTAAAGACAAAAATAACTTAGTGATCCGCATACACATATATATGAAAAGAAATGAATCAAATTCTGAACTTAGTATCAACAACGAAAAAACTTAAACCCTTACACAATTATACACTTTTACTGCATACCAAAAATAATTCAAAATGAAAATATAGGTTTAAGATTTTGGATACCTTAACAAATGTATTAAGCAATTTTGTGAGTTAAAATCATGATGACTATATGAGTTTAGCATTAGATTATAGATAAGATCTAAAAGAATTTAACTTACAGAACAAATAATCGGAATGTGCTGAATCTTCTCACCCATTTATGGAGTGATCGACACCCAGTAAAACAGGCCATTGTGAGCAGGGTAAGACTCCAGGAGCGTATAATTCGCATTCCAGTAACCATCTGTTTTAAAGCGACTTGATGCATCCTTCAGAAGTTCGTTACTGTGTAAAAAAGTACACATAAAAAAAAACAATAGGGAAAATGCCCTATGACTGCAGTTACAAAGATCATGATACTCCTAGAAAAGTACTCGGAATAAGTCAAAAATTGGTGGTTTAAGTACATGTTTTTAAAGAATGTATTATTTATTAAAGTCTCAGTAGGTGGATAATGTGACTAACATGCAGTAGTTGTGGTGCGAAGATGGTACGTAATTATTAGAATGGATACGTATTTGTCAAAGTTTAAGCTTTATACAACAAATCTACTTTGCAGGGCCAATAGCTAAGTACACAAATTTCATAACGGCAATCATTTGATTCGATTTTATAAACGTTTATGAAACAGTATGTGAAACGTATCGTAATGATTACAATAAACACCGTTCATGGATCGAAAACAGATTTCTCAGATTATTGCCTGGTAAAAATTGCAAGTGTGGCTTGTTTGTGAATTACCAATGCTGATTTACTAACTTAGATTTTACACGATTAGTTGAAATTGTTCACAATTACATTCTAATAGACCTTCATAAAATAAATATTGATGTAATGTAATGATATTAAAATCCTAAATAATAAGACAAGGCACTCCACAGTTACAAAAGTAATAAATCAGACAATGAACATTAGATGCCTAAGAGGGAAAGATTTATTTTACAAAAACCTGCTTTCATTTTGTAAACTTACTACCTATTTAGTAAGTTATCTCGTAATCCAATTGGGTGATAGGAAGAAATATACATATCTAGACTCAGGGAAAGGTGCAGTACTTTATAGGTAACGAAGTTAAGCATCTATTCAGCATATACAGGTACAGTACAGCGAACTTATTATCTGGCTACATGAAATCTTTTTGACAGTATTTAAGGTATGGGTACCAAAAAAATTAGGTAATAAGTTGGTAGTTATTACCTTTAAAGACGTAGCAGTAGCATAAGTGAGATAACGTGAAGAAATACAAAGTTCACTTTTCTGTTCACAATGTTTTTCGTTAATTTAAAATATGTCGTTGGGAATTGTAGTTAGTAACTAAAACACCTGCGTATCATTACTCACTAGGCTACCTCCTTAGCCACAGTATAAACATGAAAGGTGATCTCTAAATGGAGAATGGAAGTACAGTTTTCATGACGAATTTTTATATTTGATAACATTTCATTTTGCCAGAAAACATACTGTTTTTACAGAATCCGTCCACTGGAGCCTTGTGTGGTGATCCTATTATATGCAGTGACTGAGTTTCAAAAAAGTCCTGTTGACATAATTGTTCTTTAATTCGATGAAATATAACGTGCACAAAAGCCATCCATTTCATTCCACTAGTTGATGAGTCCAGTGATGCCTGAGATTACAAGCACGTTTACAAATTTGATAGCATATGTGACTATATCTACCCAGCTTATCAGTAAGTCGACAATAATAACAAAAACCGTAAAACCAAAGAATATCACCGAGTGTGAAACACATAAATGAAAACTACTTATTTGCACAAAAATGTTAGACGTTTCACGAAATTATTTTTCTACATTAGCGTAGGGATTCAAATAATCGAATAAGACCCTTGAAATTTGAGTATTCCATCAAAAAAGGATGTTTTCACACGAATAGAATGAAAGAGGTAAAAATGTAATTTTAAAATTCACAACGGATATTCTATGTTGAACCCCTACAATATTACACAGTGAATAGTCCCGCTTATGAATATCAGATTTGTTTCAATTTTTCAGTACATTTTAAAACAGTAAAGTTTACCGTTACTCCACAATGATATAATGAATAGCAGGAACCGGCTACCAAAATAAGACTCTTTACAAGTTACCAATTTCATTCTATTTAAAATGCCCTACGTAATAAACCAGAATAAACGATCACTAGCTACAATCAAAGGAATCGGTGAATAACCAATGAGAATCCACAAAATTCATTGCGGAAAACACAAAAGCGATGGGTTGTAGTCACTAATTATACAGAGGTTAGTGTGCCGAAAAACATTTGTCATTCAGGTTGGCTGTATTTAACCACTTTTATCGAACTTTCATCGCAGAAACACTAACCAACGTACTATTTAGTTAGCACCAAACGTTAGCATTTAAAATACGAAGTATATTATGTGTAGTTTATAATTTTCTGTGACGAATAATCAGATGATATCAGAATTTCGAGCAGGATATTGCCAATATACAGAGAGTTCTGTAATAATAGTGATTCAAGTATTAATTCAACTGAAAATAGACCTGATATTGGGAAGATAAATGGTCTTTTCGAAATGACTTGTGGGGCCACTTAGCAGGTCACATAGCTGGGAAGCAGTTACTAAATATAGTCGTCGTTGTCAGCTATAATCTATCAATAGTCTGAAACACTTAGTTGGTCGATCTACAAACACTGACATTTATGTATGGAGACGAGCACACGAAGAAATAAAATAGACTGGTTTATACATGAATATGGTAGGTATTCGATGATAAATTCAATTACTTCTGAATACTCATTTGGGACTAATATTACTATCATTACTGTGCGATACTTAATAGATTATTTTAAATATCTTAGATGAAAAACAACAATGAGCAAGTGTATATTACAAAAACGAATTCTTAAGTCTGAGGATTGGGAAAGACATACCGTTTAGGATTGACCGGATTACTTGGGTCTTTCTTATGACTAATCATTCTGTAACGAGCGATTTCTTCAGGGTAACGCATAACGCTGTAATTATGATAGACTACTCTGGCGTATAAATCGTCATCTTCTCCACCCCATCCAAAATACATATTTGAAAATCCACCAACCTTTTCAAACTGTTTCTTGGTGAACGCCACAGCTCCGCCAAAAATCGTAAGATAAGGAAGACTAAAAAATAATAAATCCATGTGAATAAAGTTATTTAGCAAAATTTTTGGGTAGCTTTATTGAGAAAAAAAAACAAACACACCACGCATAAACATGTTTGATTCTTGTTTGTCATGAAAAGGCATCCGTCTAGTCAATAACTAGATATATTCCAGTTACCTCCAAATTATGACAGTAGTAAAATAGATCACAATTTTCCTAACTCTTAGAAATTAGAAGTTTCAGGATTTGGTTACAAAATACGAAAAAACTCTACAACTTGGATTCAGTTCTCTGTAATGACAATTGTCTACCATAATACAGTTGCTTCGAAGTAATAGAGTAGTTTATATAGTCACTAAAATTGATACCGCATTGAAAAGGTAATATGGTGCATCGATAAATCTATGTATGGAATTTAAGTCCAGCGGTAGACCGTCTGGTACTTGTGTTTTCTTAGAAATATACGTATTTCAACTTATTAAATTAATTTACACTTCGTTTTTAAGGAATCAGTACTTTTATGCTTGTTCATACTACCATTTTTATACATGCTGGATAGTCCTTATTGTTAGATTATTATTTATGCTAAAATAATGGTCGACAGAACTTACAAGTGTGAATCTGAGTTGAAGTATTGGAATCTATCCATGAATGCATTTACAATATAAAGCTCACAGCTGAAATATAGATGGTTGGTGAACTGCATTCTAGTTAGGGTCTTAAACAAGTGGGTCCCAAAAATTCACCGTAACTAGGTAGAAAGCTGATAATGCCTTGAGCAAAGTCTAACGATGTAAAAGTTATATAAATACCAAGTTTATTTGGAAGTTGGTTTGAAATATAAACTGTACTAATTCATACGATATGACTTCCTCGACTAAAGTATTGAATCAACTTTCTTATTTATTGAAGAATGTTACCAACTGGACAAAATTCAAAATTTAAAAGTCTAGGAGTTTAAATATAAGCACTGACCGGTAGTTAAACTTGTCCACAGCAACAGATAGGTGTCTCGGGTGGTTGGCACAACGATATGAATTTCGATCGTCTTCAGGCAATAAATCCACATCATGAAATATGAAGCAGTCAAAATTTGTAACCCGTTTCGACTCGATAAACCCAACATTTAGAAGAAGGGCACGATTGAAATGAGTTTCACCGTCCTAAACATGTATTTATAAGTAGAAAATGAAGACTTTAGCAATACTACAACCTTGGTTATTTCATGATTAATCTCCGCAATAGAAACACATACGTAAACAGCCTAGAGTGAAAAATGGTAGTCTTTATTGTTACTTCGCTTGAATACCCAAAAACGTCTATTGGGAGTGAGGTGAACCATAAATAAAGAAACTCCATTATTGTTTGAACGCTAAATAAGGAAAGTGCTGTTGATTCAAATACTGCTACAACACTCTGTTGGTAATAAATTGATTTTGTTGCAATCTATAATCATTCATGTCAAACAAATGACCTAGTATATATTAAAACTCTGCTTTCAGTAACAATGTACTATTTTAGTGCATGTTTCGTAAATACCACGGACGTCAATCAACAGGATTAACCTATCAACACAGTTTGGGGTTAGTAAAAGTAATATATTACTATACCTATTAACAGCCATAGAGCATAATATCTTTACTAAAAAAACCACAATCCTGTGGGAACAGAAAATGGACCGTAACCCAAGAAAAAGAACATAAGATGAGAATTTACCAAACACAACACGAAAACATCTTTGTTACCGGAACCTTAAATATGGGTGTTGAGAATGATCATCTTGCCTTTCCTCATCAATTTTAACGTACATTTACAGAAACTATGGTCCAACCGATGTCAAAACCCACTTTTGGAGCAAGAAGCACAAATATTTCAGGTTCATGGCTTGGTAGTTACTCTTGAGTGTTAACCACTAGGTAGTAAGTGTTATCCCTGCTCCAGCAACTTCGGTCTAGGCAACTGAGTATTACCATTAGACCTGACAGAAATGGCTTCAAGTACAAGGAAATGAACCCAAAGATAATGAATGACATTGGATGGACTTTGTAAATGCTCTTAAAATATGTAGTATACACACTAACCGTGACCTTTAGTGTGGAGTTCCAAATTGAGGCAATATATGAGCAAAATGATTCAAAAGTACATTGCCATGATAACAGTGGTTGAAAAATATTGTTGAAAGTTCTGAAAAGGGTTCAGAAGACAACTGAAATCATATCTAAAAATAATAACTAACTTGATTTATAACGAAAATGGTATACATAAGCAGTTGGTTACGCAGAAAAGCATGCATATGTCCTAAAAACATACGCAAATGAATATCACGATTTCGGTACGGGACAATAACAGCCACCTTTTCAGTTGGATCACATACATTTGGACGCCACAATCCGACGTATTTCTCCGATGAATCGGTGTAATTGTGGGAACTAATAGATTCATTGTGGATCACCACAGGGTTTAAACTGGGCTGTGAATAGTTGCCACCTTTTGAAAGGATAATTTTACGTTGAGAGGGTGATGATGTATATTTCTCCATTAAGGAATCCCAAGTAGGTACATTAGTCTCGATTTTTAAACGCCCAACTAGTGATAACAAAAGGATGGATTGTTGTTAATCATGCAAAAAGCTGAGGTGACAAACAAATTAGAACAAAAACGTGACAAAGTAAACACTCATTCTTTGTTAAATAACAGAGAACAACAATACTGACACTGATGGAGAGAACAACTAGATATTTCAAATAAGCAATAAGACCAATCAAATTCAGCAAATAGTAGATAAATATAAACGATTTTTGGACACCTCACAGCCTCAGTTGAAACTCAGAAAATCATTAAATCGGACAGCAAGATCACATTGGGAGTATGCGATGCATAATGATACAAGATACTAGATACATATTTAAGTTGATAGACAACGCAAATCACTCTCAACTGAGTACTGAAAATATAGAGGGAGACGATCGAAACCGATAGTTAAAGCATACGTTAAATTGATAGGATATTCCCTTTACCTTAAAGGATATTACATCTGGTACCGAAGCCACTAGTTCGCCCAAGTGGCCAAAAGCTAGACAACGTAGAAACTTAAGAAAGTCTAACGGTTTAAGGTAGCATATACATAGATACGACAGAAAGGGATTCGATAGATAATAAAATTAATCGATGAAGACCAATAATTTGATTCTAATATTTGAGATTTGTTTCTTTCCCTCTAAATGCTGCCCCATTACTAGTCTGCTTCAACTTCTCAACTAATGATAAGGAATGAATTAATTGAGCACGTCAACCACTGAACTTATCATATGAGTTTCATTAGCTTTGGTGGGTTGGTATCTGACGAAATCTCAGAACGGGTCCAAAGAGCTCCATTGGTGATTGCCACTTGATCCATAGACGATATGTTCGGTTAATCTACCAAAGGGTGAAGATACTGTGCAGCAGTCCCCTGTTATGTTTCGGTATTGCTTGAATGCTATTACTGATGCGTCTTACTCAAACGAACGAAGGATCAATGATTCAGCGACTCGATAGCTATTCTGGTTCGTTGTCCCCGGCTCTGCTAACCTGATCAAGAAGTCTGGGTAAGGTGTAGAAAGTGTATTCTACAGACAAACAGCAGATAACAAGTCAAATCAAACACACAAATCAAGCGTATTTATACAATTATTTACAATCGATATTGTCATAGAAAATTTTTAAACATTAATCAACGAGTTCATTAATTGACCTACTTGCGCATTTAATCGATAGTTCATCAATTGACTCCAATAAAAATATCTAACATTTAATCGATAAGATAAAATTTAAAAATTTGAGTTTGGGGATCTATCGTCCCCAACACTCCTCCCCTTTTTAATAGCGGGCTTTCCCGGGGTCAACCTGCATCCTGACTGTTGCTCGCCATTCTCGGATAGGTCTGGGACGTGTTTCAGCTTGTTGTTGAGGTTTTTCTTTTGGTGGGGTTGCCGGTAAGTTGAATGTGTCTAGCAGGATGTCAAGAGGAATATTCGATTCTGTTGATGGGCGGTCTGGGGCTAACCGTTTGCGTAACTGATTCCGATGGCGTTGCCACCTGTCACTGCCTACCTCAACTTCGTACATGACTCGGCCAACTCTTCTGACCACTCGCGCTTCTGTCCATGGACTATGGATCGTTCTGTAATCACGGGCAAACACCGGACATCCCACTTCGTACGTGGATCGCTTTTCAAACTTTGTCCGTACTGGTGTCGGTGCATTACTTGGATGCATCAGGCTGTGGATCGTCTTCAGTCTTCTTCCCATTAGGATCTCTGCTGGGGACTTTCGCTCAGGCAACGTCTCATTTGGTGTTGTTCGATACACGTATAAGAAATTTTGCAACGCGTCTGCTGGCGTCCCCTCCCCTTTTGCCTTAGCCAAGGCTCTTTTAAACGTATCCACAAACCTTTCTGCTTGCCCATTCGACTGCGCGTGGTATGGTGGCGAGCGTAAGTGCTTTATGGCTAGTCGTTGACAGAATGACTGGAATTGGCTTGAGGTAAACTGTGAACCGTTATCAGATACAATGGCATCTGGTATACCATTTCGGGAGAAAATTTCTGTGAGGATCTGTATTGTTTTAATTGTCGTTGGCGGTATGATAGGGTTGATTTCAGGCCATTTCGAAAGGGCGTCGACTACAACTAGATACATGGTTCCGTTAATCGGGCCTGCAAAGTCGACGTGTATCCTGGACCAAGGATGATCAGGTTGTGGCCATGAAACTGGTGGAACTTTGGCGTTCACTTTTGCTGCTTGCTGACACCGCATACATTTTCCAACCAATTCTGTTATATGTTGATCCATTAGCGGCCAATACGCATGACTCCTGGCTATGGATTTCATTCGTCTAACCCCGGATGACCAAGGTGGAACTGTTTCAGCACTTTTGCACGAAGGGATTCTGGCACAACCACTCTCTCTCCGAACATCAAGCAGTCGTTTACAATGCATAGAGAATCCCGCCGCTGATACAGCTGTTTTATATCACCATCAAACTTCTTAGACGGCCAACCGTTGGTGACATAGCTCATAGTCATCCTGATGATGGGGTCGCTCTTAGAAGCATTTTGTATGTCCGTTGCAGATACCGGCAAAGTTCGTATTGCGGTCGTCAGATAACATTCGGCGTGGTCTTCCGCTAGCAGAGATGCGATTACCGTGTTTTCCTCAGCCGCCAACTGGTCACTAATGAGCCGTGATAAGGCATCCGCCTGACCGAATTGTTGAGTGCGTCGGTACTGGATTTCGAAATCATACCCCAAGAGTGCTAAGGCCCATCTCTGAAGACGATTTGCTGAATGGGCTGGAATGCCAGATTTCGACCCGAATATTGCGAGTAAAGGCTTGTGATCTGTGAGAAGCGTGAATCTCCGACCGTACAGGAACTTGTGGAAACGGCGCACAGCAAACACAAGCGCAAGAGCTTCTTTTTCTATCTGGCTGTATTTTTTTTCTGCTGGGGTTAGTGTGCGGGCAGCATGCATAACGGCTTTTTCCGATGCATCCGGGAACTGATGGGAGATAACAGCGCCTAGGCCATAGGCGGAAGCGTCTGCAGCTACGATGATCGGCATGGCTGGATCGTAGTGTGTCAACAGCAATTCCGAACTAATAATGGACTTCAGTTTACAAAAGGCAGCGTCACACTGTTTAGTCCAGTTCCAAGAGCTGTTCTTCTGCAGTAAGCTATTCAGTGGAGCGCGAATATCATGCATCGATGGAACGAACGCTGAGTAATAGCTGACAAGTCCCAGGAAGGAACGTAGTGACGAGACATTAGTGGGAGTTGGCATCAGTTTGATAGCTCGGATATTCTCAGGATCCGGCCTGCGGCCGTCGGCATCGAAAATGAACCCCAAGTACTTTACCGACTGCAAATAAAACTGGCATTTCTCTAGGCGTAACCGGAAACCGTTGTCACTGATGCGTTGCAGTACCAATGTCGTGCGTTCTCGTAGCTGTTCTAATGTCGTCGCTACAATTAAAATGTCGTCCAGATAAGCCGCGACTCCCAAGATACCTGATAGGATGGTATCCATTAGTTGCTGGAAAATAGATGGTGCAGTTTTGACTCCGAAAGGTAGACGGTTATACTGGAACAAACCACGATGGGTATTGATAGTTAACAGCTCTCTTGATGCTTCATCTACTTCCACTTGCAAATAAGCATCAGCTAGATCCAGCTTAGCGAAAAACCTTCCCCCATTCAGCATGGTAAATAGGTCTGCGGGAACAGGCAGGGGATAATGATGTTGTTCCAGAGCTGCATTGAGACCTGTTGAAAAGTCAGCACATATACGTGTCGTGCCGTTGGCTTTCTTAATAACCACAATAGGTGCTGCCCATGCAGAGTAGGAAACGGGAGTAATAACTCCTTGTTGTTGAAGGCGGTTCAATTCTTCATCTACTGTTTGTAATGTTGCATAAGGGACAGGTCTCTTTGGGCGAAAAACGGGCTTAGCTCCAGTTTTCAATCGAAGTGTTGCTTTCATGACAGAGCAGCGACCCAATCCAGGTTGGAAAATAGTTGAAAACTGAGTCATTAGGGTCCTCGTATATGATTCCAAGTCATGTGGTTGTTGTCGCAGTTGGGGTTGTGATACCAGGTTGCATATGGTATTCAACGGGACATCAGCTAAATTTAAGTGATCGAACCAATCTAACCCGAGCAAATTTAGATCAGCTGGCGTTATGTAGCATACCCCAACAAATGCCAATCACGGAAAGTAACTGTACATTCCATTTGTCCTAGCAGGTGAAGGTAATTACCACACGCAGTACGAGGCTTTTGCGTTGTACGCTGCAAGTTTGGGCTGCCCATTTTGATCCAAGTCTTACGAGAGAGGATAGTGACATCTGATCCTGTATCTATTTGCAATCTAGATGAATGCCCATTAATGTTAACAGTAATAAATTTTCTCTGACTTGGTGATGAGCTTTGACACGAAGATACTAAACTCAATGAATTGGTGCGGGATCTAGGAAGGGTCTTTTTGGTATTTCTGGATTGACTTGGAGTCTTCTTCCTCAGACAAAACCCATCCTTATGACCAATAACCTTACACTTCTTGCATCGATGTTGATTAAATGGGCAGTTTCGAACGTAGTGCCATGCACCACATTGCCAGCAAGGAGCAGGAGGAGTTGCTTTAGTCTGTCGTCTAGAGCTGGAGTGAGATGGACTGGATGAAGCGGGGACGTGTTTGTTTTTGTGAGGTGTCTGTTGCACCGCTCGTACTTCAGATCGGCTAGACCCACCACTCTGGACCATAGAAGTGTCTCGTTGAAGATTAATGAGACGTTGATATTCATTAGCTATATCACTCAGGGTGAGTTTCGGTTCTTGATCCAAACGACTTAGTAGCCTTGTTCGTAAGTCACTGAACTTTTGGTGCTGTAGGCTGCAAATAAGGATCAGAGCTTTAAACTGATCTCCAGTCAAGGACTTTAACCGGAAGCGTTCGCATTCACGGTTGACGACGCCCACATGCGTAAGAAAATCATCATCTTCGTTCATAGTTAGCTTCAAGCAACGATAACGAGTATTAAACAGTGACGAGTTATCGCCAAAATGTTGGCTTAATGTTTGAATTGTGTCTGCAAATGATCGGTCACGTGGGTTCAACGGCAGGATCAGATTGTAATACTCGTCCAGCTCAGTTGCACCCAATTTACGAAGTAGCAGCCGCACTTTCCAAGCATCATCTTGATTGGCGAAATCAAATTTAAATAGATCTTCATAACGCCTGAACCACATCTCAAAAGTAACATTAGAATCAGGATCGTAATGAAATTCAGCTATGCTATTTGCGATGCCATCTACCGATGGTGCCGTGGTTGAACTAGACGTGCTTGGATGTAAAGGAGGTGTAACCTTCGTCTCCAT